GCCCATATTTTGCCCACCCGTCTTACTATATAGCATTTCCAATACTGCATCCACAAGCAGCAGGCAACTATACTTTTGGGGCAGACAGACTGCAGTCTGGAAAAGAATACAGAAGAAAATCAAAGGAGAACAACAGTCATTTTAGGAAGACTCCAGCCTCTTTGGTTTGGAGGATGAAGAGGAGTTACAAATGTAGAATTATAGCCAATTACTATGAATTCTTTGACAAGAGAAATTCAGAAGTCTTAGATCTTGACTATATTACATTTCTGCCATACAGTCAGGGTAAATTGTTCTTCATAAATTACATCTGGGTAGGATGTAATTTAGCACTTTCCATAGACTGTTTAAAAGTTAATACAGTAACCCTAAAATCAATGGAATTCCAGAAAGGTAAATTAGCTTTCCAATATTCAGTATTAAACTCTAAAAGTTCCGCATTTCCTTTTTCAATTAAATGGCATTGATAGTTGGAATTGGCCTTGTTTTTATATTTATACTTGGAGCTGTAGTCTGTAAATAATTCATCCTGTAGTACACATATTTTTAATCATTTCCTGAAAGTGAAAGAAAAGCATAAAGATTGGGTTGAACAAGGTTTAGTTACAGTGCCCCTGCCACCAATTTGAAGCATGGGGATGCTGATACACAAGACATGGAGACTGGTTGGAGCATGCTCCGGTTAATTACACTGCTGTAATTATAGTGCGTTGCAGTGCATCGGAGGAGTTTCCCTGCACATGTACAGACACCCTTGGATAGCAAACCAGATGGGAAGATATGGACTGCCTCCAGACCTATTCTTGCTCCCAAAATATTTCATGTACACAGGTTTGTGCAGCCATACTTCATGCTATGCAAGTGAACAGCAAGTTCCTTTGGCTTTATTTAATATTAGCCATTTTGTTGTTCTGAGCAGGTCTTCAAGTCATCTGGTTCAAAAGATTATATACAGGTTTCCCTCAGTTTATGCCGGCTCTATATGTGCAAATTTGCTTTTATGCAATGACCCTTCTTATACCAAAAAAATCATTATATGTAAGGTAAATTCACTCTTATATGATTGGTGTGGTAGAAGCCCACAGTCAGCTGCTTTGTGCAGTGTATTGTGGGAGTGACGCGCACCAAAATATAGTCTCCTGTGTGGATCTGTGCTCCTTGCTCATTGTCTGTGAAACATGTTTCTGTAGTTGCCTTCCCCATTGTGATAGTGCCCTGTGCTTGTGTGTACTGTCTGCTGTTGGTAATTACCAAAATTGTCTTGTGAAAGTGGTAGAAATGGGTCTGGGGGTCAGTACAGTTGAGGTCTTGGCACATATTCCTATTTGTTACATTTTAAAGTGCATTCCTTTTACGTGAATTTGAGTTATGTGCTGTTTTCCAGGAACACACATACAGCATAAAGCAAGGGAAACCTGCATATATTTTAATATATACAGAGGATGGAACTGCAGAATTCATTTACTTATCCAAAAGTAATTACTCAAGGAAATCCATTTTTCTTCCTTCCTTAAGTACTTTGATTGTAAGCTAGGAGGATTCAAAATTCCTCAATATTACTAAGAATGTCTTTACACAGTAATGCCAAATACCCATATAAAAACCATGAGCTTTGTAGCTTTGGTTCATTTGACTTACAACTAACTTAAAATATTTGGTAAGGTTTAGGGAAGTCTAGCCTAATTTGTTAATACTATTTACCAAAAATAACAAAACCTCCAAAGGCTAGCATGTTTCAGGATTTTTGCTACATGAGGCGTGATTCATTGTCATTACAGCTCAACATTATCAAGCACACTACATACCTATCTTCATTTCGAAATACTACCCAAACAGCAGCTGCCGCTATGCAGAATCCAGCAAGAAAAATAAGTCTCACTTCAATACTTTTGTTGCAACATGAAATCCTAAAAAGTAAAGTGGTTAAGTTAGGTTGTATGAAATAAACTCACATTACAAAACGAAAAAAAATCCAGTACAAATACAATATACAACTGACATCAGGTGCACAGGCTGGCAAAGTGCTTTCTGCAAAGGCTCCCCTCAGTATGAAACTCATTCAGCCCATGTTCCACCAGACCTTAGGTTTAAGTAATTTTACAGGCACAATACACAGTTCTCCTTCTTCCTAAATGTGAATAGGTGTCCTGAACTTGATCTATCAATCAGCAGTTCTTTGGTTATGTTGTGATTTAGCTTTCTAAGAGATGCAGATCGGGTGTCTTGAGTTACAGTATAGAAACTTAGAGAAACAAAAGTCTGACTGACAGAATAATGCAAAAGAAGAACTGTCAAACCTTGAAGTTTACACGGAAAAATATTTTAACACGTTAAAAAGAGTAAAATTATGATTAATGATCTAGTCTTCCTCAAAAGCAATTTCCTATTCATTATAATGCCAAAAGCATCTCAGAAAAAAGATGAACATCTTTATAACCATATTATAAAGGGCTTCAAAAATTACATTTCGCACATTGCAATTTAACATGACCACTATCTAGAAAACACAGACATCTGCCTGATTCCACCTGTCTGTGTTAGTACTTCCAATGAAATTAGAGTGAACTACTAAGGCGAGTGAGGTTGTGTAGGATCCTGTTAAACAAAACAAAACTTTGTTTCAACTATTTTGTTATGAATTCAGTTATTCTAAAGCTCAGAATACATAAAAAAAATTAAATTGTTTTATGTCACTAAGCATGTTTCTATATTGTAATTGGTACTTAAGTTTTTCATAAGATCAGTTTCTATCTAGCCAGAGGATATTTTATTATTCTTAAAATGAAAGTTACTGAACTATCACATTTAAAATTTTTTGCATTCTCGGTATTAAAGGTGCCTTACAGGGATTTTTTTTTAATTTAAACTATTTACTATATGCAAGTTGATAAGACTGACAAGTTCTCAAACTAAGCACGCTTTCACTAAACTCCTTATTTGCTAGAACAGCAATATGCAAAACCAAATTAAGCTATACAATACCTGCATTGCCCAAATGATATCTTTTGGAGTAGTGCAGCCAGACAATTGTACAGGCTCATTGCAGATGCCAAGAAGAACACAGATATGATAACATACACTAGATGAAAAATGGAAAAAATAAAAATAAGTGATAAAAAGTAGCAGGAGGATACCCTAGCAGCTGGGAATCATGGGCAAGGAAATACATGTGACAAGCTGTGAACAGGAGCACCATTGATCAAGTTGTTTTAAAGTATTTTCTATTTAGAGCCTTGCAATAAAACCACCAGACTCATCTGAAACGTCTGTAGGAGTTTGATTTTTCAAGTTTTTCATGGCAGGCTTTCCACTTTCAAAGGAAACTTATCCAAAAAGCTACTATCAACATACCCAATGTACCCAAGAACCAGGGGAGCAATCCTTTTACTGCCAAAGCTTGTATTTATTAACCTTTGGACACCATCCCAAACACATTTCTTTATAGACATTTCAGCCCCTGTGATTATGTGGGTGACTGGGCAGAGGACCTGCTGATGACTAATTGCTTCCCATAACAACCACAATACATTAGATACTGTACAAAAACAGGCATAGGATCCTGCAACAGGATCTATTAGATGGGTCCTTCCACTCAGTGTTACGGAAAGAGACATCTACATGCATCTTATTATAGAACCGGGGCACAGATTGTAAGGAAAATACATGTTATTAAAAGCACAACAATGAATATTTATAGAATCACAGAATCATAAAAAATTAGGGTTTTAAGTGACCACGGGCTGTTATCTAGTCCATAATTTCCCAATCTGTGGTACACAAGACAGGCAGGGGGTACACAGGTACCCCAACACTGTCTCTTGCTCTCTTTTCCTCTCTCTCTAACTGCTTCCTCCTCCCAAAACTACGGCAAAAAAATTGGTGCAATTAAAAAAAATTAAATTCCCCAATAATAATTTGTTGTGCTGCACTTTGCATAGCACTGGGTTCAGCCCTCCTAGCTTTGGCCAACATCAACTCTAGCTCAGGTACATACTTGAGTTGTGTACCCTTGGTGTAAAAGGTGGCAACCCTACCCGCACCAGATCAGACATTTGTCATATCACAGCCTTATATACACACCCCTTCTTCCAACATATGGCACACATTAGTCTGTAACTATAAAATCCCCTGGAAAATTGAGTGTTGGGGTACTTATTCAAATTTTCAGAAGTTAGGGGGTACTTGTTACTTAAAAGGTTGAGAAACACTGATCTAGTCCAACCTTCCGCTCAAAGCAGAACCATCCCCAATTATTTATCTACTACAGCAAAGCAGCACCTGAGCTCTTACAGAATTTGGTATACTTAAAGTACTCAGAAAACACAATTTACACATATTTACATAATTTCATAGAGAGCTCCATGTATACTGTAGACACAAATTTAACTATTTTAAGAAAAAGAAAAAAAAATCTATGTATACCTCAAAGTATCTTCCTCTTTTTGCAGTATCAAGAAATGGAAAGTTCAAGTGCTAAACCCTCTTCCCACTACTTAGATCTTTCTCTAATGACCTTAACATGCAAAGATTTACTCTGAACTCATCTGAGTCAAGTTGCTTAAGTGTTTGTAGATAGGCACTAAGGTTGTAATAGAAACCAACAAAAGCAAAAAATGTAAAGCTAAGTTAAAGGCACCCTCTGTACATACTGCAGTTAGCTCAAGGGCGTGCAGAAAATAAATAGGTAAGAGAATATCAGCTTTTTAGATTTGAATTGTCCTGCTTTTAGCCATTTATGCCATAACCTCAACTTATTTACAGAATGGACTCCAGCCACTTAAGAATGTCAAATAGATAGGGGTGCATCAATAAAGATTTTTTTGGCTGATACAGACGGCCGATTATTAACCAGCCATATCTGCTGATACCAATCCGATAGCCGATATGCAGCCCAGCAGTGCAGAAAGCAGCGTCCGCCCGATAAGTCTGTGGTGGGTAAGGGGCATGGAGAGGTCAAACTGAGGTCCCCACGGTGAGGGAGGGGGTGGGACAGGTGCTGGCATTGCCCAGTTGGAGGAGGGAAGGACACTAAACAGAGCCACTAGCGGCTCCTGCCACCGTGCGCACCCCTGGGGGAGGCATGGAGAGCATGTGCCCCCTGGATTTGTGTGCAGGGCAAGGGCAGGCTGCACACTGCAGGCTTGGGGCCAGGGGCTGTGCCAGCCTCCTCCCAGAGGCAGGGGCTGGGCCAGGGCTGCGCTTGAGGCAGGCAGCAGTTGCACTGGGAGAAGTGGCTATGGAGAAGCTACAGTGAATTTTGGGGAGGGGGGGATCTGTAGCCCACCCCATAGCCCATCTCCCAGCACTACCACCACCACCCCACCCTGAGCCCAGCCGCCCCACTGGGAAGAGGCCAGCACAGCCCCTGGCACAGAGCTTACAGTGGGCAGTCTGCCCTCACCCTGCGCACAAATCCAGGGGCGCACATGCCCCTCATGCCTCCCCCAGGGGTACGTACAGCAGTGGGAGCTGCCTCCCCTCCCCACTGCCCATAGCTCCATCACATACCCCGCCCCACTTGGGTAGCACCTGTCCCTGCCCCAGCCCCAATCCCTCCCTCAATGTGGCAGCCTTGATCTGTCCCCCACGCCCCTTCCCTCCCACAGGCTTACCAAGAGGACACGGCTCTTCAAGCTGCCACGCTGCATTGCTGGCTGCACGCATGCTGCGGCTGTGCACTTGCACACGGCATTTATTGGTGACATCATCAGCTACACCAGCCAAAAAAAGCTGATTGCCAATAATGTCAATTTTCTTTTTATCGCTGCTGATTCAGTATGGACTGATATATCGGTGTACCTCTACAAATAGATAGTAATCTTGAAAGCTTTAAATACAGATACCTGGAAGGAATTTACAAAACAATACAGAGGTCAAAAGAGAAAGGGATTATCTACACAGGAAAGTTAGTGGGGTGTGAGAGGGATGATTTTCCAATATCAAGCCTCCAAATTTCCAAGCCCCACGCGCCAGATGTTATGGGCCTATATGCATTGGATCTGGCCATTGTGTCCAGGGCCCGATCACTGCACAACATGGCACCTGAGACTGGGGCTCAGTGTGGTGTGTACCAGACTGGGCTCACAGACCAACCCAGCACCACTCATCCAGTCTACTGGGCTGAAAGGTTGAGAACCATTGTTTCACATGGATGGCAAAAAGTTCATACACAGTGACTATGGCCTGGTCAAGTTTCAGTGCTATGTGCTTTGGAACAGAAAATTAGAGCTCCTTTACCAAATAGCTAAACAGCCAACAAGTGGCCTGAAGAAGGGACTGCATGTAACAGCCTGTTTGAATTTATTTCAATTATGCAGCTGGTCCAATAAAGATACCACTCTCCTCCCCTCCCCCTGCAAAAAAAAGAAAAAAAAGAAATCCTTGCCTCTCGCATAAACAAAATAAAAGATTGCATATGGGCAATATATTTTTTTACTCCAGTTTTTCAAAGTCTTTAGTTTTCCACAAAAATTCAGCTAGAGGTAGACACCCCACATAGGAAACTTCAACCAAATAGTTAAGTGTGGCAACAAAATAAAGCAACAAAAAAGAGTTTTTGATGGGACATTTTTGGTAACCTTTGATATAAGCATTGCTACCTATAAGCAGAAGAAGCTGCCAAAAGCTTTTTATGCTATGCAGAAGAGGTGAGAGAAGGGGAAAACAAGCTACAAAAGAGAATTACTGGCTTCACCAACAATTTCTGGAATAAAAATAAGACAATCAACATCAAACCTTTTTAACATCATGGCATTTTATAGAAGTGTTCGCTGGTTGTAGGTTTGTTGTTTTTCTTATATCTTTCACAGACCTTATATTATCATCAAGATAATTATGTCATTAGTGTTTACTCTGTCCATTATGTCTACTTGTGGTAAGACAAAATAACTTAAGTAGCCCAAAGTCAATTTAGAAACTAATGCTTAGAACGTGGTTGGAGCGTCATAGCCATGATGGTCCAGAAAAATATACAAGGCAAGAAGATTTTTTGGTGATATTTTTTTAATTGGACAAACTGTACAGCTGCTTAGAGCAGGTGTTTGTGGCATGAGGCCCACGGACATGGGGAACTGTTGGGATGTAACCTGGCCATCTCTGCCCTGCACAATACCACATATCACCCCTGTAGCAGCCCCCCATTGCTCTCTCTTGCCCCCTTACAGCAGGTGCTTCTTATCTTCACTTATGAATTTGCCCCTCTATGCTGGTGGGGACGTGGGAGGAGAATACTGGTGGCGAAGTCACAAGCAGCATCCCACTGCTCCCAAAAGGTTGCCAACCCCTGGCTTAGAGTTTGAGCTAAGATTCAACCACAGAATGAAGAGGGGCATCATATGCTTGACTGCTTATTTTTACTACGAAGTCATACACCTTATTTAACTAACCACTGCCTTGGCAACCTTACAGAGAAAAAAAATGTGAAGGGGAATTCCAAAAGAGGCCTCATTTCCCCTACTTTAAAGTAAATCCCCTAAACATTTTTATTCCTCCCAATAAATGAAGGAGGGTGATTTAAGTAAGAAAATAAGTTCACCTTTGGCTAAAAAACTAAAAACTAAAAAAACACAAGCCTGTCAATGGCATGAAAGAGGAAAATAAATCAATTGCAACAGTTTCTTATCACTTCTTACCTAGCCATTTGTAGAAGAAATAAAGTAAGACTAGCATGACACAACAGATGACCACAAACAGGATAACTGTAAGTGGGGTAAAAGTGACATTTTCTTCCTTCTTTCTTCTTGTTTCTCTGTCCCCAGGGCTTGCCACAGCTTTCAAATCCTCACTGTCAAAACAGACATTTATTTCAGTTACAGACAGTAACTGCAGACTTTTACAAAATTAGATTTTTACCACTACCTCCATTTTTACACTGTATTAAGGTGTATTAGACACAAAGGGTACCTGTACATATGTGGGGAGGCTGCTCCAATGCACTATTAAATTGAGTCTACTGGAGCATGCTAGTTAGTGCATGCCAGCCAGCCACCGCATCTCATGTATCAGCATCCCTGAGCTTCAAAATGGTGGTGGGGGTGCTTTAACTAAAGCTCATTCAATGAGCTTTAATTAAAGCATCCCCACTGCTGTTTTGGAGTGCAGAGATGTTGATACAGGAGATGCTGAAGGTGCTTTGAATACAACTACTTCTGGAGCCACTCTAATTAAATCACCCCACTCAGTCCCAGAGCATGTGTAAAAATGCCCTAGAATTCCAGTTCATCAAGGTAATTAAGCACATGACAAACTTTAAGCACTGAGTGGTCACTCTGACTTAAAAGCTAGACATTTTCTTAACTACTTTGCTAAAATGCTAGTGTTAGTCTGAAAAATAATCAAGACATCTCCAAACTCAGGTCAAGAAGGACCGTGGAATTTGCTAGCTATTTCTCCACTATACTTTCTAAAATTCTCTCAGAGGACTATTGTCCTATGGGAAGAGGCTGCTGCTTTACCTTGAATCATAAGGAAATACTTTTATGTATTAGAGGAAAAGGAAGAGTCAAAGGTTTAAAATGAGATTCCAACTAAAAAAAAAATCAAAAATCATCTCTAAGAGAATAGTCTTCAAACAGAAATACTCATTATTTCCCTTTTAGAAACCTGCTTATGCCAGCAGGAAAACAATTATTATTGACAGACATTTATATTTTACACCAAGAATGGTAAATGCTTTAGAACTTCAGCTAGACATGTGTCATTTCATTAAATGTCTGAAAAAACATTAGTGTCAGCCAAATTCTGTCAGTTAATTGTGAATTCTTCTGCATCTATGGTCCATAATTAAAGGGGAAGGGAAACAGAGAAATAAAGTAGATTGTCATTAAAGGTAACATGTCTTCAAGGTTATAATACATACATGCTCTGTATTTATGCCTTACCATAAGAAATAAGTGCACTGAAAATGTTAAACCTGTTTTATAAAATAAACAAAAGGTCTTTAAACATTCAGGTCAACTGTGCTTCTTACCACTCTGAATATTTGTAAAGCTTGCTTGCCAACTATTCTACCTCCCATGATATCCCAAGGTCCGCACAGCTACAATGCTGACATTCTGAAAAGGCAACAGCTTTCTTAAAATCAATGCAAGCAAGAAAGTTTGCAAATCCTAGCTACTATAAATATCCGATTTAGATTAGTGGTTTACAAACCTAAGGAAAGGTACAACATTTTCAAGATGGGCAAAAATTAATACATTTCTCAAAGATACTGAGTTTCCAAACAAGTAACATGCCATCACATCCTGTGATATTTTTGACACCTGGCCCTGGCATGTTCCCAAAAATGGCAACTCCTCCTATGAAACAGGTGCATAGCAAGAGGCATAATTTTGGGATCAGGGCTCACAATTTAGCTCTTGCTACTTGCCAGTGCAAGGGGAGCTCAGGATCACAGTCGCAATCTTGGGCTCCCCCTGTACTGCAAGTTGAAAGCCAGGTGTCCACAGATCCAGGGCTGAGGCCGACAATCAGCCAACCGTCAGCTCTGACCAGGGACTGCGCTACAGGTCTGAACGAGCCACAGTCCAAAGGCAGGGCCAACAATCCGCTGACCTGCAACCCCCAGCTCCAACCTTTTACAGGTACAATTTAAGGTGCCATATGCAGAACATTTTTACAGCTGGTTTGCCATTTTATTAGGAGTGCAGTGATAAAGATTTTTTGGGCTGATACCAACGACTGTTTATTAACGAGCCATATCAGCCAATACTGATCCAATTGTTGATATGCAGCCCAGCAGGCTGGAGAGCAGCATCTGAGTGGTAAATCTGTTGTGGGGGGGAGAGAAGGGACTGAGAGGGTACAGATCAAGGCCCCCATAGTGAGGGAGTGGGGCTGGGGCAGGTGCTGCCCAGCCAGGGCGACAGGGGTTGCGGAACGGAGCTGCGCGGCTCGTCCAGGGGGCATGGGGAGGTGGGGCAGATCACACTTCTATGTGCACCCCTGGAGGAGCCATGGGGCAGGCAGTGGCAGCACTGGGCTGGGGGGGCTATAGCTACCCCAAAATTCACCATAGCCCCCTATAGCATCCCCTCCCAGTGCCCACCCCGAGTGCAGCCCCAGCTCAGCCCCCCCACCAAGAAGAGCCCAGCGCCACCCCTGGCCCCACTGGCAGCTCACCCATGTCCTGTGCACAGATCCAGGGTCACAAGCCTGGATGGCTCTCCTGAGGTACATGAAGTGGCCGGATCCCCCCCCCCCCCCCCACCCCCCACAAACGAGCCTCTCTTGGCTCCGTCCTACACCCCTTTTCCCCAGCCCCACTCCCTCCCCCACCACAGGGGCCTCAATCTGCCCCTGCCAAGCCCCTTCCTTCCCAAAAGATGTACCAGCTGGATGCTACTCTGCAAGCTGTTGGGCTGGACACGCGCATCCTGCAGCTGCGCACATGCATGCTGCATCTACTGGTAACAGTACTGGCTGCATCAGCCAAAAACGCCAATTGCCAATAATGTCAATTTTCCTTTCATCAGTGCCAATATGATATGGACTGATGTATCGGTGCACCTCTACATTTTATGGCATCTTAAATTGAGTGCTCATGTGCACATGTAGCATCTTTGCAATTTACATTACGATTAACACATTAATTGCCACATAAATGTCACATGTAGAGGGGGCCTTAGAGTGCAGTCAGGAGCCTCACACAAAGTATATTACTTCCTTAGAACTGATGAAAGATGGCTTCACTCTACTGCACGTAAAACAGTTTCACTTTTTATATTCCCCAGCCACTCTCAAACAAACACAGGCATCAGCAGGTCAGGCTACGGGAGAAGAAAAGTCCATTACAGGCATACCTTGGAGATATTGCAGGTTCGGTTCCAGACCACTGCAATAAAGCGAATATCGCAATAAAGCGAGTCACACGAATTTTTTTGGTTTCCCAGTGCATATAAAAGTTATGTTTACACTATACTGTAGTCTATTAAGTGTGCAATAGCATTATGTCTAAAAAAACAATGTACACACCTTAATTAAAAAATACTTTATTGCTAAAAAATGCTAACCATCATCTGAGCCTTCAGCGAGTCGTAATCTTTTTGCTGGTGGAGGGTCTTGCCTCGATGTTGATGGCTGCTGACTGATCAGGGTGGTGGTTGCTGAAGGTTGGGGTGGCTGTGGCAATTTCTTAAAATAAGACAACAATGACGTTTGCCACATCGATTGACCCTTTCTTTCACGAAAGATTTCTCTGTAGCATGCAATGCTG